GGACAGGCACTTTAATGTAGTTTAATGAGGGTGTTTATATAGTCATAGTGAGTCTGAGCTTCCAGTTTTTCAGGTTGACCCACTTGTTTTTACTGCCAACACCACTGTACACACACACATACTGTTTTATATGAGTTTAATGTTTAATTTTTATGATTTTTAGTATTCATAATAATATAGAAATGTACATTTTGTATATACATATTTAAATATGCATTCAAGAATTAAGGCTGGAGGGCACAACTCATTTACAACTAATTACAAATTACAAGCATGAAAGCATTGATGGAAATATGATTGTATAAACTGTGTTAATCACACTGCAAGGAGGGAACATGATAAAATAAAGAGATGTTTTAGCAGCGTTATGTTGGCACATTGCTGTGGTTGGTACATTTTGTACCCACAGCTGTGATCTAGGCAGGATAACATATGGAAAGCTAATCAAATATTTCCCACCAAGCCCCAATGAACAAAAGATGGAAAAATGTATATATTTACATTAATTATGTTGCACACTGACCTCAAGGTGTGTACATGTTTTTACAGTGCTACATTTAAACTGTTGTGAAGTAGAAACAGTATGTAAGAGCAAAGGGATCATGAGCGAACAAGATGATCAGTGATACAACGTGATGTGTTTGATTAAAAGAGGGAAATCTGAATTTGTGCAAAATTGCTGCTTTCAGTTTAACATCTTTTTCTTTAGATAAGTGAGATTAACTTTAAGCCAGACACACATACAGACAATGTCAATGTGCTTTATTGACACTTAATTACAAAAATATGTCCGTACACTGGACAACACAAGTTTTTACCCTTTACTCATATATTGAATTAAAGCTGGAACTGTGAAGGTAATTATTTAAAACAGAAAACAATTGCTTTCACATAAGCTTCTTATGAATTTATGTGTATTTTTAATACAGAAATATAAAATGTACAGCAGTCACACCAGGAAATGTTACCTAAAATAAAATCCACATGCTGCAACAACAAACTGGTAGAAAGCAGAAAAGACCTGCAGTAAAAGTAGAATATTCCCTCAGTATGACGAGAGGACACATCACAATATACTTTACTGTTGTATTGATTACTTCTGCCACCATATAAACCTACACATTAGTTCTTATAAGTAGTTAGTTTCTGCAGCCTGATATTAAAAGACCACCATTCGTTGGTGTTTGCCAGAGTTTCCTCACAGTTCTTTGTATTGATAGTGTATTTAGGGCAGACCCACCCTGTTGTAGGAATATAATACCGGTTACACAATGCTGCTGTGCTCATTAATGTTTTTCCTCCCCCCTCACACACACACACACACACACACACTCGCAGGGTTTGGTGATAACATCCACTGGAGGACGCTGGATGATGGCAAAAAGGAAGCAGAGGCAAGGTGAGTTCACACTTCCTGTAACCTTTTGTACAACCTAAAACCGCTATTAAGGAACTCCCCTACGTCCATGTGTCCACTAATGACTGGAGCAGACATGTAGCTTTTGCTAAATGTGTTTTTCAAATATTAAATACGTACAAACTCTCATTTTTCCATTTGTTTGCACTGACAGCGGACTGCCAATCATGCTCATCATCCATAAGAGCTGGTGTGGAGCCTGCAAAGGTAAAATGTTATCTCCCTTTTCACTTTAAAAACTTTAAATGTTTGAATACATTGACAAACATCCATTAATAAATACATTCAGCCTGCTATGTTACGTACTCCCTGTCTGAAAAAGGGGCTCGCCTGGGTTCAACTTGGTGATTTAGTAGCTTCAGTCAACCAAATCATTCTCATATTTAGTGTCAATAAGGTCAAAAACATTTCCTGAGAAGTTTCCTGAAGTTATGTACACTTACACTTAGTTACACCTTTAAACACAGTAGACATTTTACTAATAACATTAACAATTGACATGTCAGAGTGTCTTTAATTGACCTTGAAAGTACGTAAATGAGTTGCCTGGACTGTGCAAACACTCAGGGACAAGATATCTTGTATCAGTCTTGTAATGTTTTATCTTAATAAAAGTATTCTGTAGATTAGTGAGCTGACACAATGACGACTTACGTCTGACTTAAAGCAACTGGGCAGTAACTTGTGAGACATCCTTCTGATTAGACAGAAACAATATCATATGCAGATGAGTAAACATTAGTAGAACTGTCCTACATGCTCAGCAAAGTCACAATTATTAAAGCTGGTTGTTGTTGTAATAGGTTGGGTCTGACTGTGACTGCAGCACTGTATTGTGATAATAATCAATATGTATGTTTGTCCTGGTTTTGAGGCTAACACGAGCTAACGTTTCAACTGTATTTTCCATCAGCACTGAAGCCCAAATTTGCTGAGTCAAAGGAAATCTCTGAACTCGCACACAACTTCGTTATGATCAACCTGGAGGTGAGAAAGATTAATCAATTATTAATTAAGTTAATTTTTAAATTAAATGTGTTATTGTAGAGGTGAGATTACTTTCTCATACACTCATTGTGTGTTTTACAGTTGCACTACTCTAACGTATAAACATATATATTAGGTGGGTGAGATTTAGTGAAGGGAGGCTTGTAAATGATACGTTATCTCTTTATTTGAACAGGATGAAGAGGAGCCAAAGGATGAAACCTTCAGCCCCGATGGCGGCTACATTCCTCGGATTCTTTTCCTTGGTACGAAGGGGGTTGAGTCCTCCCTCGTGTAAACACTTTGTGGGATCACTGATAGCACAGTTACTCTTGAATAACGTGCAGCGCCTGATAAAGTTTCAGTGACAGTACAGTGAAAACGGCTGAAAAGTAGCATTTTTAATTCCATAAATCGTAAATAAACTTAACAATAATCATAAAACAGACACATCGCACATGTGTTGACAGAGGAATAAACAGCAGGTAGAAACAGTCAACCTTTGATTAATGGATGTTAAATATCACCTTTATGTTGTGTTGAATAAAACATGGGAGCAGCAAAGATTAAAGGAACAAATCACAGGAACATTATTCCTCAGTGTAAAATATTAATGTTAAAAGTGCTCCAATACATTTTTAATATTTCCATGTTACAATTCAAGTATAACAAATGTAGTTGTTTAATAGTTTTAAAGCTCAAACGATTGATTGAGTTGATGAATCATTTAGTTAGCACAACCTTTCCTAGTCTTCTATAATAATTAATTAATTACCTTTTGGATTTTGGACTTGGACTGGATTTTGTTAAACACAAGCAATTTGATGATTTAAAACTGGGCTTTGGGAGCATTTTTCGCCATTTTCAGACATTTATTTATTGACTAAATAATCAATTGAGAGAATAATTGTTGCTGCCTTTATATTGTTAGTATTTTAACTTTTATTTGCACTGACCAAACCTTTGTTATCTGACCCTTCTTACCCCCCCTCCCTCACAGATCCCAAAGGCAGAGTCCATCCTGAAATCACCAACAAGAACGGAAATCCAAACTACAAATACTTCTACAGCAGCGCGGAACAAGGTAACAGTCCAGATTATCATCGTTCACATGTGGAAAATATCGTTTTAGAAAGTGATTTTAACTGCTGGCTCTTAAAGTCTCTGGGTTTGAACATTGTTGGAAACATTGAGGATCATTTTAGGACACAGCTCGACAAAATATATCACAAAGGTGTCGTGTTTATAGACAATTTGATGCAGGAATGTTACATATTATATCTTTTTAAAATGGATAAACATGGTGTGTACTTTCTGTACTCCCGCTCAGTTGTGTCCGGTATGAAGGAGGCGCAGGAGAAGCTGACGGGCGACGCCTTCAAGCAGGGTCACACCGGAGACGAGCTGTGAGGAGGCAGAAACGGGCACCAGGCTGTAAGGGCTACACTTCCTCTACCTGAGCCTGAGCTTCAGAGCGCCCTGTAACATCCCCAAACAACCCTTTTCACTATTTATACTCACACTTTAGACAGTCGGGTCCATCTCATGGTACAAAAACAACCACTCAAAAGGTGTCTGTGCTTTTTGTCCTGTCATTGTCTTTGTTTTATTATACCTGTATTTTGTAATCTACTGTTAATTAAAGGCCATGTACTGTACTTACTGTCTGTAGAGGATATAACTAACTCATTCTAGCCAAGTTTACTGTTATTAACTCTCATTTGCTGTTCTTTGATGGGGGAAAGTTTTCCTTGTTTGTCACTAGACAACCATGATGTTTCACAATCACACTGTAGATGATTCATTTTAACCAATAGTTATGCCCCCCGCCCTCCCCAACAGCAACGATAGAGTACTTCATATTAGTCAAGATACATATTTTAACACCTTCAGCGACGTGCTTCCAAAAATCCTCTACAGTATGTTAATTATATCTGTGACGATATTTACCATAAACTACAACGTGGGCTCTGTACTTCTGATTTCTCTTATCCACAGTCTTTAAAATAATATTCATTTAATCCTGCCAAATTATGTATGCCTAAGGGTAATTGGTTATATCTACATAATGTTCTTTTTTCCTGTACGGAGTCTGTTGTGCTTCTTGTCAAGTGACACTACTCGGTTCTTCTTTCTTTTTTTGTTTTTACTAGCCTTGTTAAACTCTGTGAATGAGGGATGAAAACATTGGTTCAGTGTCTTGATGTATTTTATACATGTACACAGCCAAGTGTGCAAATAAAGTTTGTTGTACTGAGTCGTTAGTGTTCATCATTTCATTGTGAGCCAGATGCATTCAGGACACAGCTGTAATAACAGTATATCAATTTTTATTGTCTATCCAACAATAGTGATCCCTTATGGTTTGTCAAACAATATGCAACTGCTGCGGACAGTTAAACATCAGTAGATGACACAAATCAAGTCGCTATTTAAATTCAGTTTGACAGTGATTTTAAATAGTGCAGTTAACATTAATGCAAGTGCATTTTTTTAAGACATTGGATTGCAGTTGATCCCATTCCAGACGCAGCCTTCAAATAATGGCTTATTTCTTTCATACTGAGCCACGTCTCAGCGTAAAAAGGTCGTACAGCATATGATTTTCATGATAAAATAAATTACAGGAAAAAAACAAGCGTGCATTTCTAAATAAGCCTCATTTCATGACATGTTACCAGTGCTAACGGACTATAACGACATGATAAAACATAAGGAATGTTGGTGGAATGTGTGTCAAACTTTGCTAAAGGCATTTAAAGATTTAAAAACCCCTCTGTATTGCTCAGTTTCCGCCAGAAGCACGAAAGGCTCAAGCTGACATGTGGAAGGACACAGAAGAGTTTTAAAGAAAAAATAAAACAAAATCACAAAGTAAACGAACATTAGCGATGTGAACATGGCCAAAAGCTCCACGATCTTTCCACTGTGAGGTCATTTTAAAGGATTTTAAAAGATGGGAAGGGGAAATAAAAAGGTTGCCTGACAGAAATATTGCTACAATCACTATAATTACACTAATTACACAATGATGCTGCTGTAAAATCAGCAACGCTTTCACATATAAAAAAAAAAGCCTATAAAAAGCTGTGTGATAAATCTGTATATTCAAAATAAACGACACAGCTATAAGTTGTGATTAAAACTGAGTGATTGTTTTTAAAATTTTAAAGTTGTGCACATTTCATAACCAGTGTATTAGACCACTGTCGACTACGTTTGCTGTTCTCACAGAAGAAACGGCATCGTGCGGCTACATCGTTTCCGATCACGTCTCTGCAGAGGCTGTGCAATAGATTTGTACTATTATAACATCTGGAATTATTCACCAGCTCTCCGGCGTTCACTTGGCAGGTCCAGCGTTGAAAACTGCATTCCACATTTCATAGATATCTTTACAAGATGACACTGAAACGCTGACATGTTTAAATTCCTTCTGTAAACCCACTTGACTTGAAGTCTGCGCTTTAAGACGGTCAATGCTACACCTAAGAACACTACATCCGCCCCTCCCCCCGTTTGTGCTGGGTGGAAGTTTGTCCAGTTTGCTTCTGAGGATATTAAAGAGGTGAGTTGGGGGAAGGAGAGGGAGCGTGTGTGTGTGTGTGTGTGTGGATATGTATGTGTGTGTATTTGGGTGAGGCAGGAGCAAACTCAAAATCTTCCCTGCTTGGCGTCTCCGATGGCCCCCCACACGTCAAAGACAAACTCGTCGGGAAAGGCGAAGTCTCCGAGGGTCTCGTCCAACGCCATGGCGAATTCATCCGGGTTCTTCTTGTCGCGGCCGACCTCGACCATCGTGGCAGCTGGAGGGAGAAGAGCAGGAACACTTCACTGAATAACTGAAGGGCTTAAGAGCCAAATCAGGCGCTGAATAGGAGGTAGGGCCTTTGGCTTACAGTCAATGCTGCACAATAGCGATAACAAGAAGCTTCCTTTGGTTTGTGTTTTGTTTGTTTGGTCAAGGTACACAGACAGTGGATGAGAAAGGGAGAGAGGGCTGGGAGCGAGAAAACAAATAAAATCAATGAACCCGCCAATTCCAATCTCTTAATTAAACTTATACTGAGCCCCATCAGTGCACGTAGTGTTACCTATACAACACACTATTCATTATCCATCTTCAGTGGTATATTCATGATCTCACAGATGTCCAACTGTCTGCCCTGTACAATAAAATGTTTGAAACAAACGTTTAAATCCAATATTTTCAAGTAGAGCGGAGTGGCATGATCAAAATACTGTTTTGTTTTAGGGAACGCAATGAAATCATGCAGTAACATACAGACTGAGGTCACAGATAGGATGTGGCAAGTCAAAAGTAACCAGCATGCAAGATATCAGCTCCTTTCTTTAAGACCTCTGACATACATATCATTTTACATACATATATTGTAGAAAGACTACTATAATAATGTTATTATGATCCTTTAAATATGATCTCTAAATGCTGGTTCACTGTCAACACTTTCACAGTCCGAGCGAATGACGTACACCAGCATTGATTCCCAGGTTGTGTTCATACTCACCAAGTTCAGTGTCTCTGATGCCCATGTAGCTCTCCAGGAGGTCGTCCACTTTCTTTACGGCCTTCTCCTCAAATTCTGTTGGCTATAAAACAAAAAACAACTCACTTTATGACTCAGTGAGGAGTCTGCTGGCGATTTATTATTCCAGATTTCACTGACAGTACATGTGGAAAAGGGGAGAATGTAAGGATGAGTATGTGCCATCCTCTGTGGGTGTTTTTATTGTCTATCTGTCTGTATCTAAACTCACCTCTTCCTCTACAGTAGCCGGGCCCTTGGAGCGAAGTCTCAGAGTCCCCCTCCCTGTGCCGATCTTGTTGTCACTGGCAGGTTTGGCACCCTTTGATCTGGGCTCGAGCATTTCTGTCAATCAGAGGAGAAACAATATTACAGAAAGTCAAGTTTACTGCAAACCGTCCCGCTGGTGAACAGACATCACTTTCATTCCCGGTAGATCGCTCGCTCCAACTCTTGATTGTGTAGCGTTCAAAGAAACAACGATACACTGACGTTTGTAAGCTACGTATAACACCAGTGAACATTATAAAAATGACCAGCTATGCTTTGTATAAACTATTAGTAGCCCTGAAGTAAAATCAGTGCCACAATGTTCAAACCAAGATACTGTATAATTTAACCTTAAGCATATTTCAATGTTTTTCTTAACATGCAAATGATCCTGTAAATATGCTAAATAACATCATGTGCCCTTTGGTTCTGGCCACCATGCTGAGAAACACTGGAGCACCAGATTCTTCCACTGACTGAATCCTGAAGGTGAGTCTGCTGTCCTTCTACCACCTGGGTCAGTTCTGTAAACGTGTGGATGCACCTTTCTTACTCACCGAAGGCTTTCATCGGCTCGACCAGCTTGAGGGTGAAGGACTTGTCTTTGGGCAGCTCTTTAAGCATGCGGGCGACCTCGTAATGCCGTGTCCCGACGATGTTACGTCCGTTAATGCACTCTACGTGGTCGCCCACGCTGATCACCTTCACCCCGTCCACAACGCTGCCCTCTTTGATACGCTGCCAGAGAGAAATAGAGGAAGGGAGTCCGGAAAATAGATTTAAGACGACAAATATAATTCAAACACAGCAACAGTTACTTTATACACTTATAAAGTGGCCACACAAAAAGAGGTTTGTTTGAAGGTTTGTCCAAGAAACAAATGCGGATCAAAAAAAGAGAGCAAACAAGTGAGGTTGAGTCTACTGAAGTTGCTCTTTCATCATGTTTTACCACTGGACTTGGAAAAATGCTTCCACGGAGAGCTAAATAATACAGTTTGTTTCTGTTCGAGACTTCAAAAGCTTTAAAAAAGGAAACATTTGTGATGCAGATGTAACCGGAGAGTTGGAGAGTTTTTGATTATGAATAATACCTGGACATTTTTCTCCACAGGAACAGGGAACCTTTTCATTTAAATTAATTCCAGGGTTTTTTTTTAGCCTTGAACTACAAACAGACCTGGTTAAAGCTTCCTGACCTTTATTTTGCTGCATGAGAAGGTGTAAAACAGCCCAGATGTGACAGAGAAGCTGCATTAGACTGGACTATCCATGTTCTTGAGACTCTACGAGTTGTTAAATACATTCAGATTAAGATCAGATTAACTCTTCTGCATCAAAAAGGTTACATTTTAATGAATAAGTAAACGTTGGCCGACTAAGTTTGATGCCATCCTGATGCAGCGTCACTTTAACAGTTCACAGACTACAACGGCAGCATCACAACAGTGACCCCGAGGCTTTTTAATAAACACTGTGTGGTAAACTGGATGCAGTGCTGTTGCGAAATCACATGATGGCACATGTGAGCACTTTGTTATGGTGGAGAATGACTGAGACCAAATAAGCTCATTAGACTGTCGACAGCAACAGAGGCAACATACCAAAATGAATTATGGTTTTTACAGGTTGAAAAGTGCAAAACGTCTGTTCATTAACTGAGGTTTTAATAAGGTTATGAACAGCATCCTCTGAAGCTGATTCATTTTAATATTTCACTTATTAAACTTAAATTTATTTCATTTTTATATTATTTTCATTTGATTAGTTACAACGGAAGATTGATTATGACAAGTTAGATAATCTGTTCATCTCTTAGATTAACGTCCATGTAAAAACATCAAACATTTATTACTTTTCTTCTTATAAGTGTTGGTTTTTGTGTTCCTGTGGCTCATATCCTTGTAAATTATCTACCTATGGAATTGTGTTTTTAAGCATTGGTCAGACATAGTCAGCAAACTTAAGATTTTACCTTCAGGCCCTGGTAACCTTCATTATTTCTTAACGCATTTAAAATAAAAGATTATTTAATCAACTGAAAAACTAATCAAAAGCTTCATAATGAAATTGTTGTTGGCAGACAGACTAGATGTCTTGACCCGATTTGTTTTCTGCACAACTTCGGAAAACAAAAGTACACCATTGTTGAAATTACTTTGGGGATATAAACGCAGCTTACTGCTTATTTTAATTCCCTTAATACGACTTAATGTCATATTGCAATAAGCAAGATAAAAGTTAAGACAGCCAATAACGCACTGGTACACATTACATTACAATAAGTTTACCAAATAAGCAGAAATACAATAAAAACTCAACAAAAGTTGCTTTCCTTTAAAATCAGTTAGTTCCAATTAATTCTTATTTCATGTCTACCTAGTATGTTACATAACTCGACACCACTGTGAATTAAGAGGTGAAATAAAGGTTAATTCTG